CCGTGAACTGGACGAACACAGAAGGGCAGCGAAGTTTGACCTTGCCTTCCCAGTTTTTAATCGCTCAATGCTTTGGCTAAACCCTAAACCCTAAACACAACCTTTTGCTGGCATTAGCTCCAGGAAATTTCAGAACCCGGTGAGGAGCTGCTTAATGTTCAGATGGCAACATGCAAAACCGGAGCCGTCAATGACTAGAAGAATGGTTTTAGGGGAAATCATACCATAGTTATATCACTAAGGAACTCTAGACAGAATATTAGCAATTATTCAGGCTTTTAAAATTCCTGGCGCCAACACGGCTTCCCAGCGGCTTGTACGAACTACCCAGGAGCCCAATACCCCTCAATCAAGGAATATGGCTTAAGTCAGGACAGGAAGCTCCTTATGCATATTTTATGACTTAGTATAGATTCCTTAATTATCGAGGGGTATTGGGCTGCTTGCGATTTAGTCATCTGTTCTGTAAAGAAGACCTGGCAGGCTACGAGGTCGTCGCATCTCGCGGCGAGGCACCCATCCATCAACCGATGTCGCGGTTGCCCAGCTGGCGCCACGACCGCATGGTTCCAAGAAGCACTACTTGGAGGTTGATTCATGGGTAGTTATATACGGATAAGTGTGCTTGTAAGTCTGATAAGTCCCTAATATGGGTGGTAACCATAGTTACCCTACTTATAAACTTTGGCAACAACAACCCAGAAAATCACCGGCAGTGTTCTTCATCAACTTTGTTGAAGGTAATTCAGATACATGTGATACATGTGTAGGGTGTTTTTGGGTGCTTTGCATGGTGTTTAGGGTTGCAGTGGAGTAGAACGATTGAGACGAGACCCCAAGTGCTTGGCTGAGAGCGAACATATCGAAGCCAAGTGTGAGCATAAGCCTGACAGTATAACGACAGCTGCATTGGCCATCGAAAAAAATCTCAACGGCGTGAACAAGCCCTTGTGCATCAAGTATTGTAGCAGTGCACATCGCGGTAGCAATCACCAGCGGTTCAAACATCAATAGCTGGCAGCTACTGGTAGCAATGCAAGCATGTGCCAAGCTGTCCGAGTACGAGACATCCGGCAAAACGCATGTGATGCTGACTTAGATGCATTCCCCTTTCTCGGTCTGGTTGTGCTTGGTTGGCTTGTTTTCTCTATCTCTTTCTCGATAGCAACTGGAAAACACCAAAGCCCCAGACCCTAAACCCGTCAGCCAGGGGTGGTTCCTTTTCCCTTGTGGACTGTTGATTCTTGTTTCACGCCGACCTCGTACCATGAACCTCGCCTGGCTTGTCCGAGTTGTGAGAGCGTAAACCCGTCAGCCAAAGCACACGAAAATCCAAGCCCCCCCATATCCCCAAGCCTAAGACACCCCGCCGTCGAAACACCAAACCTACGAAACACCAAACCTAAGCCTCAAAGGCATAGGACCGCCAAACTCGAAACCCCAAACCTCGCCACACTGGGACTCTTGCCACAACTGCGAGTTTCGGGAGTAAAGTCTAGGGCGTTCAGGCTTTAGGGTTTATGGCTTCGGGTTTATAGGGCTCAGGCTTGGTGCAAACCCCAAACCGGTGCTAGGAAGCAGCCACAGGAGACCCTTTGAAGCTGTATTTGCGCCTCCAGACGATATAGGTAACTAGGGGGCAAAACAATCAATAGAAAATTCGAGGGTTCTTCGCATTCCTTAGTAGTACTATAGTAGATTGCCCAACAAACCTTTCAGATTGTTGTGGGCCCTATATTACCTTCGAAAGCTCTGCGTTATCCCTAACCCTCCAGGTACCTACTATAACTATAAAGGGCCCTAGGGGCTCTAGTACCCTATATAGTAAGTATCTGGGGGGGTTACTTGGAGGTTCATGGGTAGTTATAAGTGGGGTTATAAGTAGGGTAACTATAGTTATAACCCATAGTATAACCATACTTATAAACTACCCATGAACCTCCAAGTAGGGTATTGCTTTGGTTCCTCCAAGGATGCCGCGGCGCTCCGCCAGCTCGGACGTCCTCCCGCCTGGCTGCGGGAGGCCTCGGTCTGCGGCAACTATACTTAATCATAGGCCCCTACCTGGACCCCCAAAAGTATGTAAAATAATAGCCTGTTAGGGTTCTTGGGCCATTATTTTGCCTACTTTCGGGGGTTTAGGTAAGTAGTTCCTTTTTGTGGTGTATACTTAGAACTCTATAAGGTAATCCCCCGAAAGGAACTACTTAGGGGCCTATGGGTAATTCAATCATGAAACATAAGCATACTTTTACCGTACACATAGTTTTGGCTCTGGATCTCGAGGTGCTTTAGACGGCTGCGACTGCGTGTATGTGACTTTATATAGACGGCTTAATGATGACTTATAGCTTATATATAACACGACTGAAACGATGTGTACGGCTGTAGGCGTGGGCACAACGTGTTCTTCTACGCCGCAGCCTACTGCTGTAGGAGAGAATCCCAAAAGGTCATCAGCAGGGTGCATTTAAGCTTGCGGGGGGTCGCACCTGGGGCATCATCACGAAGAGGTTCTCTGGCACACCACCCGATAAGTACATTTGGGGTTGCTGATGTTAAGTTATTCTCATTTCTGCCAGTATCAACATTAAATGAGACTGATGCTATCTGTTTTGCAGATGTTCCTAATCCCTGGAACTCGTCATCCCTAGCACCCAAACTGCCTGCGGCCTAACCTTGCAAATTACTTGCTTGTCTCCAATTTCGGCCATGCAAATAAACGGCTGCTAGATGCTACTTCAGGCTGATTGTAGTGATTGTTATGCATGACCCTCAAACCCACACCAGCAATTCGGAACCCGGTCAACCGTAACCTCCAGATCTGGTTGCTTGCCTCATGTGCAAGTGGAGTCGAATCCCGCATACTCATCCAGCCCGAAAATCTACGAACCCCCCATTCCTAGGCTGAGAAAGCTAGAAAACATGCCCCGGGCCCAAAGCCTATGGTATTCGGGCCATACCCTGAACCCTCAACCCTGAACCTTAAACCCTAAACCCCTGAGCCCGACCTGTCTCGCGAACGCGAACCGAAAGACCTGGTCTGGGTCCGAGTTGCTGAAAGGGCTCCAAGGGTAATTAGGATGAAGGTAGGTGGGGTAATCCCAAAATAAGAGTCCTCATATCAAGGATCCCTAGTCCATACCAAGGATCCCTAGTCCCACCTACCTTCATCCCACCTTTCGAGGCCTCTACAGTTGCGAGAGTCTCAACCCTAACCCCTCAACCCTAAACCTTTAACCCAAACCCTATAAACCCTGAGCCCTCAACCCTCAACCCTCAACCCCCAACCCCCAACCCTAAACCCTAAACTCCCCAAAGTTCTAGGCGGAGGAGGCCAACCTGCAGCTGGCGAATGGCTGGGAGCCGGTGTCTTCAGAGGTGACTCTGAGGCCAGGGTTCAGGGCCCTTTTTGTGGCTTAGGGTTTAGGGCTTAAGGTTTAGGCCCTTTTCGTGGCTTAGGACCTAAACCCCCAAAAGTAGGGAAAATATTGGCCCAAGAACCCTAAAAGGCGATTATTTTACATACTCTTGGGGTCCAGGTAGTGCCTTTTGGTCCTTGGTGGTTTCTGGTTCAGGGCCTTTTCGGGTTTTAGTGCTTATAAGGGCCTTCCTGGGATTGACATCTTGGTTTGTTTTGTTCGGGGTTTGGGTTTGGGGCCTTTTAGGTTTACAGCTCGTAGTGTCTAGGGCCTAGTCTAGGGTCTAAAAAACCAACAAGGTAGGGTGTGGGTTGGGGGTTCAGGTTCGGTCTATCCGGGTTTTACTTAAGATCTCTAGGTTTTAGGCAGCTTTAGGTTCCTAGGGTTCTAACAGGAGAAAAGTTTCCATAAGTGCGGTTTTTTGATTCAACCGAAGGAATTCTATGCTAGGGCTTCGTAGAGAATAGAGCCCGGAGTGGTTTAGCGGGTCCGTTCCGGTCAATACATCATTCCCTATCGTTCCCATGTTTAAAGTATGGCGCAGGATACTGCAAAGCTCATTGCTACATGGGAACCCGGGGGCGCGTATCATACTGGCCCAAAAACCTAAACCCTAAGCCCGTAAGCCCCAAGCCCCTAAGTCCCTAACCCTAAACCGGAAACCCTAAACCCTTACACCCTAAACCCTAATCCGGAAACCCGAAGAAGAATTCTTCCGAAACCTACACCCTGAAACCGGAGCCCTGGAGGCCCCCAAAGCTCTAACCCTAAGCGCCTAGACCATAGCAGAACCGACACGCCGGACCCCTCAACTACTTTCTAATGTACCCTAAATATCCACCATTCAGGACCAGAAGGGCAAACCCTAAACCTTGCTTGGATGGAACCTGCCATGCCTGCGTAAGCGAGTGTCTGAGTCGGAAACCTTGCCTGTATGCCAGGAACCTCCGGATTCGTGGGCACCTCCCGCAGCACGTGCAAGGCGGAATTTTCCTTCGCAATGGGCCCAATCAGGCCGGGGATTCATGAGTATTGGGGCTTTGGGGTAGAGGGTTTAGGGTTGGGGATTCGGGGTTTAGGGACTAGGGGCTACGGGTCTTTGATCGGTGGGTCCTTTGGATGGGGATTCTGCGATTTAGGGTTCGATATTAGGGTCGTCCGAGCCCTAGGCCAAGACCCTAAACCTTCAAGTTTAAAGTTTTCAAGGTTTCAGGCATTCCCGAAATGTGGGGTTTGGGGATTTAGGGTTCGAGGCTGTGCATATCGTAACTTCTTTCATGTTAACGTCATTGGAGAAGGCTTTAGGTAAGAACTCTGCTCTGAAAATGGAACTAAGTCAGACGCCCGGAGTTGTCGCGATGAAGAAGATTGCGCAAGTGTGGGAAAAAATACCCTCTGAGCCCTGAAACCCTAAACCCCCGGGGATACCGTAGAGCCCTCCAGTGCCAAACCCTCAAACCTTACAAAGCCCCCATTCCCTCGGCCTAGACCCCATACCTACACTCACCGCTGCAGGACTCTACCTCCCGCCGTAAACTCTAGGCCTTACAAAAAGTAAGACCAAGCGTGGCAGAGGCGATGTCCCCAGTGTCGATGCAGGACGCTGCCGCAGGGATCCAAAATTAGGAGGAAGGCCTTGTTTTTTTCTTCTGGGTTCTTGTTAAGGGATTTACTTCAAGTTACCATGATAAGTATACCTAGTAAATAATAGGGTTTCTTTATTATGGCAACCTAAAGTAAATCCCTTATCAAGAACCCAGTTTTAGGCCCGCCACTCTGATTCCGAGGTGCGATCAAAGCTCGGGGAGAAGCCAAGTAACTAAGAGCTTTCAGAGGCCGTTCAATCCTGTTCTCCCTGTAATATAAAAGAGCGCAGATCTTGTCCCTGCCACTCTCGTATATTCCACAGTTTCGTTAGTAAAGAGCTTTCACGTCTGTACCCTATAGACCCTATAAATCCTAAATACTAAACTATAAGCCCTAAAACCTAAATCGTAGCCTGAGGGCGAGGCGAGTCTGACGACGTTGGCAGTTCAGGGTCCTGAGATGGTGGGCTCTGGGGCTGTCTTTTGCTGCATGCCTTTCATACGTCGGCACGGCCAGTGCGCAGGACTACCACATCTTCGATGGCCACGGCATGATCCATGCGGTGCACTTCCTCGGAGATGAAGAGGGCGTACCCTCAGCTAAAGATCGGCTCGAAATTAGGGTGGTGCGGTGTTCCGATCAGATATATTCACATACCATATACATATATAACATATGTGCACACATGTATGCGCACATATATATATATATAATTTATTTATCTATTTATTTATTTATTTATATTTGTACATATTTCTGTCTTATGTATATACAGACAGACAAATTAAATGGATAGGCAGATAGATGCATAGGTAGATAGATAGGTAGGTAGACTTACGTAGATAGATAGATAGATAGATAGATAGATAGAAAGATAGAAAGATAGGCAGATAGATAGGCAGGTAGGTAGATAGGTAGATAGGCAGATAGATAGATAGATAGATAGATAGATAAGTAGATAGATACATAAGTAGATAGATAGATAGATAGATAGATGGGTAGATACCTATTGTGTCTGTATGTATGTATGCATGCATGCATGCATGTATGCATGTACGTAATGTAATGTAATGCAATGCAATGCAATGTAATGCAATGTAGTGTAATGTAATGTAATGTAGTGTATGCATGTATGCATGCATGTATGCATGCATGTACGTAATGTATGTAATGTATGTTTGCATGCATGCATGTACGTGTGCTGTATGTTATAACTGTATGTATGTATGTATGTATGTATGTATGTATGCATGCATATATGTATGTACGTATGCGTATGACGAAACACGTGTAAGTTTTGGCGGTGTGGATATAACGGCAAAGAATGGTACAATACTTCGAACCGTTTTGAAACTTTTCGAATATTCCTTGACAGTACCTGAACACTGCTCGACCCGGACTGAGCTTCTCAGAAATTCCCGCGTCCCTTTTGCATCGTCCAAAATGCGCAGTAGATCCTCATACAGCACGGACCAGTGTATTCCCTGCTATTCTGCCTCCTGGGAGCATTAGCCATAAACTTGGCTGCAGTCCAACGGGGTGCGACCTCTATCATCCTGAACCCGATCTCCAGACTCACTCTAATTGAGCCTGGTCGGTAGCCCTCCTTGACTTGGAGGACCTTTAAGGCCACTTAAACCAGTTTAGATCCATGCAGCAAGGCAACTTACGCTCGGCGCTACGTCCGGACACAAGCTCTTCAGTTTGAAGAGTCTGAAGGCCAGTGCTTGTTTAAACCATTATCTACCCCAGCCTCCAAAACCTTCAACCCTCTTTCTTAAAGGGTTTTGTTGTGGGAGCCCATAGGGTTTCATGTTGAAGCTCTGGAACAGCCGGGTTCTACTTCCATAAAAACCCTAAACGCTGTGGATCCTTAACCCTAAGCCCAAAGCCTCAAACAGCAAGGCCAGTGCCTGTATACTGGCATGAAGAAGATGCTCCCTCAGCGCCCAGGCTTTCATCGGAATAGTATGTATTTTGTTTTGCAATATTGTCACGACGATGATGATGATGATGATTATCATTAGGAGTCGTAATAGTCTTATTATTGTTATGACTACTGCCTTTAAATTTGTTATTATTATTATTGTTAGTATTATGAATGAAATTGTCATGGTTATCATGTTCCATCGAGTTCATATACTGTGTCACACTTATTGTACACGGTCTAGGGTTCGGGGTTTTAGAGTGTCGAGGCCTGATATGTCAGAAAACCAAACAAACGCCCTGAAGGAAGCCTTACAGTATCCCCTATGACTAAAGGACCCCTCAGAGGAACCCGAAACCCTAACCGTTAGTCCTGCTACAACAACCTCGCAGTAGTCCGAAACGAACTCCGTGCGGTGCGACGTTGTCAGCTGGGCGGGTGGGAAAAGAAAAGCTGTAAACCTAATAGACCTAATACATGATATAAAAGCCTAAACCCTAAACCCTAACTTGCTATAAATGCAGGCTCATCCAGCAGACCAGTAGGGAGCATTCCCGGAATGCCAACTAAGAGGTAGAGACCTTAAACATGGTGGGATGCTTATAGACTGATTCAAAGAGCACCAGATTCAGGGGTAATTTGTGTTGCCCGGCTTCGCGAATTGTCAACTAATACTTGTGAAACCTTCAACAAAACCTGAAAGACAGTTGCGAGCATCCTTCCAGCTCATATAGTGTTTACGTAGGTTTTATGTACACCGCCACAACCCTACTTTAATGGTGATGAGACCCCTAAACCGTTAAACTTACGCCCTGATGTAGCCCTTGCGGAAGCCTTGAAATGAGCACTAGACAGAATCACTTAAAGGCAACCTACTCCATTGATTGAAGGCCTAATATGAGTCCGATCCAGCCGGCCCAGGTTCCCCACCTTTTTCCGGCTTCTGTTTGAGAAATACTTCGGCTCCTCCGGGAGCATCTCGGCTGTTTCCTGGTTGGCCTTCGGGGCTCTTGGCCTTCAGCTTTTTAGAGCTTAGGGATTAGACTTAGACGATGGAAAAATGGAAGTTCAACTTTCAGGACTGGTTTCAGCAGTGAGCTAAGGCACGGACTCGCCCTACTGGGTCATCCAGAACCGAAATCCCGCCACTTTGCCTGCCGGAGGTTGCTCCGAAAGATTCGGGGTGTCATATCGGGATATCTGGGTCCTCAGTCCCAACAAATGCAACTCGTCAAGCCTCTGTGTGTGAAGGGTGTGGCTGTGGATGGATCGACGCAGGCGGTATAAGGTTGGGTGAGGGTGGATGCGTCGACTGAGGCTTCCCGACACCACCCCATCAAAACAAGTTTAGTTTAGGATTTAGGGCTTAGGGTTCCAGAACCCCCGCCCCAAGACAAAGTTGATGTAGGGCGGTTGATGGCTTCGCATTCGGGATGGTTGGGCATAGCAGGGATCCAGCGCACAATCAATGATTGTAACCTCCCAGCACAACATGCCTCTAATCGAAGGCTTTACAGAATCGTGTTCGGTGCGCTTCGCAGAACTCGCGAAGTAGCCCTGTTGTTACACGGTGTAGCAGTGTAGCGTGACGACTGCCCTACCCCAAGCCCCTTCACCCCTACATCCCAATTTTATGAACCCCTTAAAGGAACCCTTGAAGAATCCTCTAAATGGAGCCCTTCATCTGAAATGAACACTTGGAGAAGCCCCCGAACCCTGAACTTCCCTAAACCCTACAAACCCTAAACTTAGAACGGTTCAGGGTTTAGGTTTAAGGTTTAGGGTCCATCAGAGCAGAAAGCATCACTGGTCATGTGAAGCCTAGGCCAACAACGGCTGCACCGTGCATGCGGGGCGCGTTTTGGCTACTTGGGAGGCCTTCTACGACTTCTTCGAGTCGGCGGTTTAGAGTTTGGGGTTTCGGCTTCAGACAGCCTTTGATAGGGCTTTACCGGGTTTCATATAAGGATGGAGGACGGGGTGGACAGCATCTTCATGTTGGAAGGAGTTGATGGTCATTTCCTTCGACGTCGAAAGAGGAGGTATTCTCCAAGAACCCCTCCCTCCCCACAGCACTCTTACCCCTGGATCCTAAACTTTATCACCTACACCCTAAATCCTTCACCCTAACCGAGACCCCACACTCTACACCCGAAACCCTACACCCTAAACCCGAAACCCTGCACTCTAAACCCTGCACCCTAAACCCGAAACCCTACCCATGTAGAGCCAAAAGAAATCGACCGAAGCTGCTGCATTCAGGCCGGCTGGGCCTATGAACTCCGGTTGCCGGACTTGGAGCCCTGGGCCCATGGGTTCCTTTCAGGGGTAGTTTCGGGTTCCTTTAAGGGGTTTAGGGTTTAGGGTACTTTAAGGGGTAGTTTCGGCTTCCTTTCAGGGGTCCTGTAAGGGCCACTTTGAAGGCTCCTTTAAAGGGAACCCTGCGACACAGCCCTAGAGAGCCTTGAAGGGCTAGATTAGGGCTCCACTGGCATCAGGTACTATAACGGTTTAAGGGTTGAGGGTCTAGGGTCCCTGTAAGAGTACTAGAACGGCGGATGAGGGGTTTAGGGCCTGGGGTTTGCTGGGTTTGATGTTCAACATGTTTCAAGATGTGTTGAGTTTGCGGATTACGTGGGGCTGCGGCATTGAGTCTTCAGGCTAGCCCTCTGACCTTGAAGCTGTAACTGAAAGTGTAAGTCTTTAAATCTGCGAACTAATTAACGCGGAGGAGCAGCAGTAGTCGTCGTCGTTTAGCCCTGATGCTGCTTCTTCGTGCCTCCTACAGTTGCCGAGGCCTGCATGCCTTTTGTCCGTCCATGCAGGATGCATAGTCGGGTCAGAAATCCTTACCATCTGTATATTCCTGCAGGTAGTTTGCTTGGACCTCTTTGTGCAATTCGTGCTGCATGTACGAAGCATAGAGCGCTTGTCCGGGTGGTCGCCGTGGTGATGGTAGTGGTGGTGGTGGTGAACTCTCCCCGCATGCCTGGCGACCGCCATTTATGCATGCGTACGAGAACCCACTGTTTCAATGAACGAGCGCAGAACTCAGCATACCCATGGGTCTCACAGCTACGGTGTCATTAGTGCGAAGCAGAGCAAACCCTCCGACACTAAGTCCGAATCTGTGAGCATAAGGAAACGCTGGGCCTGTTCGACTACGAGGGAACCTGGCCAGATGGGGCCGTCACGGACAACTGCAGCGCACATGGAAAACAGGATTTCCGGATTCCACTAGAATAGTGCTGGTTTAACTACAAAAATTTGTAGTTTGGGTCGAAGGCTCATAGAATTGTCTAGGATGCAGGGCCTGCTCACTGTTTGTTGGTTGAATGGTTTAAGGTTTGGGGTTTCCTGAAAGTTTCAGGTGAGGGCAGAGACTGTCTAAACCCTCATCGCCCCAAACCTCTGTTCTACTGTTTGTACAGCAACCATTCAGGCCCCTACGTTCACTGTATTAAGACGCCTGCTTCATTGTTCTCCCGTGTGATGTAGATGCCTGGTGTGTGGCACGAGCTTGAAGCGACCGGCATTCGTCTCTGCTTGGGAAGGGAGCTCTCAGGCGACGAGGCAAGCCCACTGCACAAAAGAAGTGTTTGAGGACCCCGAGACCGGGCAATTCATCACGATCTCCTACAACATGATCGAGCTGCCCCCATGGCTGCGTGTGCTGCTTGGTTCTTAAACAGCTAGTGACTCTAGTGCCTAACGGCTCATCTAGCCAGTTGACCGGGAATCGGAAATTTCCAGGCAACCGGAATCAACCCTAAACGCCACAAGTCACGCACGCCCCGCCCCCACCGCCGATCCGCCCTTATCTACACATGTCTGTGAACTCGCGGGGTGTGGCAGGATCACGGCCAGCGCGGATGGCGCCTTAGAGAAGTCGGTCAAGGTGCCGTTGCCGTCTGGGGCAGCCTTACTGCACGACTTTGGGATCACCCAGCGACGGGTCATCCTCAATGTCGGAGCCTCGGCAGTTGGATGCAAGGTATAGAGGCAACTCCAGGATTTTGGCGGGTGTTTTTCGTGAGTGCTCCTGTTGAATATGAATATTTTGGTGAGTGTACTTTCGGTGCTGTACTACCTTGTATGACTAAATACCTTTCTGGGCTTTGGGACGATCTAAACACATTTCTTTTTGGAGAGTCCCTAAACTCCTAAACCTTAAACCCCTAAAACCCTAAAGCCCCCCCGAAAGGGCCCGCCCAAGGACCACTGAACTTGGTGCCGCTGAAGATGGTCAGCGGTGCTCCTCCTTTCGACTTCGACTTCTCGGCGAAGTGACCGGCCCACAATTCTGGCTTTACAGGGCCAGGGTTTAGCGCTTGGGGATTTTTTGAGGCTATACTACTTACTGCCTGTGTAACTTACCCGGCCGCACCGCAAGTTCGGATGCAAAAAAGGGTTAGGACTATACAGGCCTAGAGGGTTTAGGGCTCAGCCAGTAGTGCAGAGTAGCCCGGCGCTCGGTTTCCTTGTTCAAGGGTACTTGGCAGTCGCAATAGGCCTGGATGCAGAAAGGGCTTAGGGTTTCAGGGTTCAGAGTGTCTAGGGATGTGCCTTTGGTAGGACGTGTGGATTGGACGAAGAGCTTTAAGTGGATCTCTGGATTGAGGTTCGCGGGTTGTGCAATCGTTTATGTTTCTGCACTCTCCAACCGGATCCTGTGGCATCCCTTCTTAATTTCCTGAAATTGGACAAACCCTAATTAAACCCTAACCCTAAACCCAAACCCTAAACCCTAAATGAAGGTGCTATTTTGGCATTCTCAGCCGGTCATCCGATTCTGCAGATGACGTGATCTGGGTGGAAGCCGAAAACTGCTTCAACTTTCATGTTCTGAACGCTTACGACGATCCCACAGACCCTGGTCGCGTCATCGTGCACACCTTCCGTCAGGATCTCGGAAGCAGTTATGGGACTAAACTGCCAATCTTCAAGCCGTGACGAAAAGGGCGGAGGGGCTCGTAGTTGCGAGGGTGGAGCGGGCGAGGCGTTGCTGGACAACCCTAAACCCTAAGCCAAGGCTTGGAAGCCTCCATAGCCTACCAGTTGAGTAGGTAAGAGGTTTCCTTGTCGGACACTCTCACTTGTATGCAATCCCAAAACTGAACCTCTAGTCCTCCTAGGAGACTGGACAAGTAAGATAAGATGATTGCTTCTTCTCTCAATCACAGTGTAGAGCAACCAAAACATCGAGCCATTCACTGTAGACCTTCAGGATTTAGGTCTTAATAGGGTTTTAAAGCGAACCGCAAGAACTCGGCAGGAAGTTTGAAGCTCGTGGCGATATGTCCTGATTATGAACAAAGGCACCTGATTCTTCGAGGTTTATTCTGGAGAACCAAAATTCCCATTACCGTGCTTACATTATTTTCATCAGTATGGCAGTGTATGGTGATTCCTAAACAGCAATCTTTTCACACGGCTGTTGCACGTTGGTACAATTCTCATTTTCTCGTTAAACAACTCTCATAGTTTATGCTGCTTGTGGTAGAATTGTGTCCGATTGCGGTTGTTGCGGTGGCTCCATCTATGTGGCCAACGTGAATCCCAGCTGCTCGCGATTGGTCCTAAACCCTAGACCCTAAACCTCAAACCCTAAACCCTAAACCCTAAACCCAAATCCTTCCACCTGGCGTCCTCCGCTGAAACACCGAGGACTACACCCTCGGGCTGGGGATGGGATCGAAGCTGAACGAGGACGCACTGCCGGAAAGTGCGAAATACTTCCTGCCGGTGAGATGGCGATGATTTCGGGTGTGACTGTGATTATCATTCGTAGTCTCTAGTCTTTTTTCAAATCGGATGGGCGAAGGTGTTGCTGGTTTTTATGTGTTAGCTTGCTGAGTTGTCCGACATCCGGGATCGGAATTGGCTAGCACCAGTCGTAGATCCTGATTCTGTGAATATACATTTGACAATTTTTTCTTCCTCTTATAAGTCAGCCAAATGATGTCAGAAATTCATAAACATCTGGTGCTGGATGCTGCGAGCTTCTGGACTCATGCTAATCCTTATGTAGCCAAAGACCCCTTACGGCCCTTACCACACTTCAACCGTCATGCTGATGCGGTGAAGGCTTTACGAGTTCGGGTCTTCTAAAAGAGGAGGACAAGATGGTGCATCGACTCACTGGTCTCGTATCGCTCCGATAGACCAAGGCCGCCATGACCGTATCAAATCATAAGGGCCTGAAGCGTTGTGAGTGAATTCCAGAGGGTTCCCTGATGCAGTTCGAGGATATCTTTTAGAAACTCACCCACATCCCAGTCTAACCAGTCTAAAAAGACACATTTCGTAGTAAACCTTTGCATGCGACCTCCGAAACCTTCCCAGCAATCGATGTGTCGGAAACTACCCGCACTTTTCCAACAAGGGTTTCAACCCGTCCTCTGTCAAATCAAGCTACTTGAATCCAGGCTCTCGTTGGGGGTTGGGGCTTATGAGGGTAAAGGGTTAGGGTTTAGGGTTTAAGGTTCAGGGTTTAGGGTTTAGGCTAAGGCTTGGGGTGTTTTCGTTGGCAAATGAACCAAGCCTTGCAGCTGTTGAGTTGATGCGAGGAAACGCGTAGGTCCCCACACGGGCGGCGGCTGCAAGGTGACACCGCTGTGCTGCATCGGTGGGCCACGTGCTTATGACAGTTCCGGGGTTCCTGCAATTCAAGGGTTTAAGGTTAAAAGGTATAAGACTTCGAGTCGACAAGGGCTTAGGGAGGGTTCGGTGTGTAGGTTGGTCAGGGTTGACGCTTGATTTTCTGCTGTAGGCTTAGCGCCCGCATTCAGGCGGGGTTTAGGGCTGGGTACAAGGTGTAAAATATCAAGTACAGGTTAAGGTTAATAAAAGCAGGAACAACTTTTAACCTTAAATCCTAAATCCCAAACTCAAAAGCTAAGGCTTAAGCTAAACCCTAAACCCCTAAACCTCGCCCAGGTAAGTCCGAGGGTGAGTGCTGAAACCCTTTAAACCCCACAACCACACCACACGTAGAACCCCCTAGTTTGGAGGGGGGCATCCTGGACCATGGACCGTGGGGCGGGGAGGGGGCCCATGGTATCCCCCCCCCCCGCCCAGGGGCCAAGCCAAGCCTCTGATCCGAGCAAGAAGTCGCAGGGACGGTGCTCGTATGCATCATCATCCTTGTAACTGTCAACTTTTTGGACTTCTCACACAATCTTCGCAACTTTATGGCCGTGAATCGCACATCCCCCCAGATGAGAATGATGGCGATGCTGCTGTGGACATCTGTGGACAATGACACTGATGTGCTTCTTGCATGCTGGTATTCCGATTGTGAGTTGTTGATTGGTTGTTTGATTGATTTTCATGGGTTCATTGATTGATTCGTTGAATGATTGTGAATGATTGAGTGTGACTGTTGGCGGTTGGTACTACCACTGCTCCTGTGCTGTTGTGGTCGTAGGTACCGCATGCCCATTGCCGTTACGTATTTGTAAAGCTTGCCTGGCTTGATGTTATTTCGTCGTAGCTGGCATCGAACAGTTGTCTGTCTATGCTAATTTTCGGTTGGGTTCGTCAGAAGTCAGAGTAAGCCTGAGCATATGTTTGAACGACTTTCATTAGCAAGGGACCGGAGGAGAGCACCGATGCTGCCGATGAGGATCATGACCACCATCTTCGTCATCATCGTCATAGTCATCATGACTAGCATTGGCTTTTGAGTTCAGGACTGGGCGGAGTTCAGTGGAATTGCATCATATCCATAGGCCCAAACCCCAAGCAACCAGACGCCCAACCTGCAATAGTCATGGAAGGAGGCAGCAGGGGGGAGGGGCAGGGGCAAACCCGCAGCACACGGGTTGGGGGGGGGGGGGGGGGGGGGCCTAGCAGCGCTGCACCATATATACACACAACTATAGGCATATGCTGTCATATGCTTGAGAAATTAAATCCAAAAGCCTTCGAAGGGAACGCTTGTAACACACATGGCGCAGCTTTCCTTAAATCCCAGCACCGGCCCAGGTGATCGATGTGTCTGCGGCCAAAGTCGTCGAAAGCACACGCCTACACCAGCCGCCGGCCGATCCAAGGAGGAGTAAACGCCGGAAGGTTAGGAGAGAGAGCCCAACAATCCCATAGTTAAAGGCGTAACCTGTAACCAGTTTCAGGGTCTCTTTGGAGTTTAACCAAGGTGCATATTCCTCGCCGAGGGTGTCTTGCCAGACTGTGTTCAGACGTGGGATGAAAGCGGAGGTTGTTTTGAGAGTGTAAAGGCTGAGCATGTCGGAAGTTTTGGTGGTTTCCTGTGGTAATGGTCCGGGTTTTGGAAAGGTTTTGTAATGGAGTATTGGTGTTCATAACCCTAAACCCTAAATTAAACCCAAAACCCTTACTAACCCCTAAACCCTAAGGGTAGGGTCTGACAACCCCAATCCGAAGAGCCCGCAACTCACAGCTATGACGCCTGAAAGTTTGTTCTTTCCATAAAGTCCAAAGGGTTCCCGGTACTTAATCGAAATTCCTACTACAGAATCCCTACTTTCTTTTTGATGCTACTATATCGGCACTCAGGACCCTTTGGGCAGTATCCCAGCCGTTGCAGCCTCGAGTCAGTAGTACTAGTACTAGTAGTAGTAGAAGTAGTAGTAGTAGTAGTAGTGGTAATAATAATAATAATAATGATTGTAGGATCTTACAATCAGGCACCCTAGCCCAACTTCCCATGGCGCCTGCACGGGGCA